TTAGCCATGAAGACTCATGGGGAAACCCAGAATGTGAGATGTTCTAAGTGACAATTGGCCCGGAAACTTTAAAAGCAGCACATTAAATGAAAAACTAGCAACAAAAGAGTAGGGAAGGGCCCGGCGTGGTGGCGCAGTGGTTAAGGTCCTCGCCTTGCATGCCCGGGATCCCATATGGGTGCCGGTTCTATCCCGGCAGCCCCGCTTCCCTTCCAGCTCCCTGCCTGTGGCCCGGGAAGGCAGTCGAGGACGGCCCAAGGCTTTGGGAACCTGCACCCGCATGGGAGACCTGGAAGAGGCTCCTGGCTTCGGATCGGCATAGTATCGACCGTTGCGCTCACTTGGGGAGTGAATCATTGGATGGAAGATCTTCCTCTCTGTCTCTCCTCTCTGTATATCCGCCTTTCCAATAAAAAAATAATAAAAAATAAATCTTTAAAAAAAAAAAGAGTAGGGAAGTGTTCAAGGTTAAAGGAAACCAAAGAAGGGCTTTAAGTCACCATTTGGAATGCCAGATGTCAAGTCAGATTGCCTGATTTGAGTCCTCGCTCCCCCACTTCTGATTTCTCCAGTCTTCAGCAAGGCCCACTCCTGGACGCTGCAGGCATGTGGGGACTGAATCTGCTAATGAAAGAATTCTTTCTTTGTCTCCTGGCTTTTCAAAAATGAACAGTTAAAAAACTAAAATGGGATAGACTAAAGAAATTTAACAAACAAATGCAATGGGAACTTTGATTGAATTGGAATCACACACATACAAAGTATAAGACATTCTTGAAAAAAGTGGAAACACAGGACATACAACACTATTAAATATGCTAACTCTCCTGTGATAATGATCTTAAGATCCCAGAGAGTTACTTTTTTTAAAAGATTTATTTATTTTTATTGGAAAGGCAGGTATACAGAGAGGAGGAGAAACAAAGAGGAATAGAACCAGTGCCCATATGGGATCCCAGCACATTCAAGGCAAGGACTTTAACCGCTATGCTATGTCGCTGGGTTCAACTCCCTCTTTTTTTTTTTTTTTTTTTTAAAGATTTATTTTTATTATTTTTTCATTGGAAAGGCGGATATACAGAGAGGAGAGACAGAGAGGAAGATCTTCCATCCGATGATTCACTCCCCAAGTGAGCGCAACGGGCCGATCCGAAGCCAGGAGCCTCTTCCGGGTCTCCCACACGGGTGCAGGTTCCCAAAGCTTTGGGCTGTCCTCGACTGCTTTCCCAGGCCACAAGCAGGGAGCTGGAAGGGAAGCGGGGCTGCCGGGATTAGAACCGGCGCCCATATGGGATCCCGGGCGTGCAAGGTGAGGACCTTTAACCACTTGCGCCACCGCGCCGGGCCCAGCTCCCTCTTTTTTTAATAGATTTTTTTTTTTTATTATTGGAAAGGCAGATCAGATTAATGGAAAGGAGAGACAGATCTTTCATCTGCTGGTTTACTCCCCAAATGGCCACCAACAGCCAGAACTGAGAATATCCAAAGCCAGGAGCCAGGAACTTTTTCCAGGTTTCTTAAGTGGCAGCAGGGTCCCAAGGTTTTGGGTCATCCTGTACTGTTTCCCAGGCCACAAGTATGGAGCTGGTTGGGAAGTGGAGCAGCTGGGGTTAATTGGTGTCCATATGGGTGCTTGTAGGGTGGAGGATTTAGCCACTGAGCCAACACACACTAGGCCACAGAATTTCTTGTCCTTAGGAAATACTTTTTAGCATATTTTTAAGTAAAACATCATGAAATTATTCTTTGTATCAAATGGTGAAGCAAAATAAAATTAAAAAATATATATAGTGAATCTAGGTGAAGAACATACAGGTTTCCACTGTAGTTTCTTGTAATTTTTCTGTAGGATTAAGATTTTTTTCCAGGACCCAGCACAGCAGGCTAGTGGCTAAAGTCCTTTCCTTGCACATGCCAGGATCCCATATGGATGCTAGTTCTAATCCCGCTAGCCCCGCTTCCCATCCAGCTCCCTGCTTGTGGCATGGGAAAGCAGTCAAGGACAGCCCAAAGCCTTGGGACCCTGCACCCGCATGGGAGACCCAGAAGAGGCTCTGGGCTCCTGGCTTCAGATCAGTGCAACTCTGACCATTGAAGCTGCTTCGGGAGTGAAACATTGGACAGAAAAGGTTCCTCTCTGTCTCTTCCTCTGTGTATATTTGCCATTCCAATAAAAATAAATCTTTAAAAAAAGATTTTTTCCAAAATAAGTTTTTAACAAAACCAGGAAATAATCATAGAACATTAGATTTAAAAAATGAAGACATAAAAACTGTGTACAATGAAGGCAATACAAAACTAATGGGAAGCTACCCTTTTCACTTTGGCAGTTGGTAGGCCAGCACCAGGCAAGAGGCTCAGCACTAAGTGACAAGGTTGTCCCTGCTGCCACACAGAATCTCAATTATAAGAATGTGGCTCTATGGTCCGGTGTGCTGGTTCTAATCCTGGTAGCCCTGCTCCCAGCATGGCCCACGTGGGTCCTGGCTTCAGATCTACTGGCCATTGCAGTCACTAAGGGAGTGAATCATTGGCTGGAAGGTCTTCCTCTCTGTCTTCCTCTCTGTATATCTGACTTTGCAATCAAAAATAAATAAATCTTTAAAAAAAAGAATGTGGCTCTAGCAAACACCACCCAAACCTCAAGGGAGCCCTGCTGTGGCCGCCTTCCTTGCCCCTTGGATTATTTTCAGTCTGCCTGGCCCCTGTGCTTCCAAGAGTTCACACTAAGGCCGGAGGGAAAGTACATCAACACTTGCTGTTAGCGTCCCTCATTCCAGATTCCAAAATCCAAGCTGTTCTGCTGTTGGATCCTTGACCTGTGTGGTAAAGTAGGAGGAAGTGCATGGTGCTTAAAGGCACTGCAACTTTTAAAGGATCCCTTGAGCCCTCCCTCTAAGACGCCCTCTTTCCTGTCCAACAGTATCCCTACTCTTTGCCTGGTTGAAGGAGCGCAGCTTCCCACCTCTGTTGGCTGACCTGGCTTGGAACGCCCTCTCACCCGTTTGCTTCATCTTCCTGGCTCCAGTCTCCCTCCTGCATGCTCCTGCAGATTTCCGGGCATTGATTCCATTCCTCTGAGCTGTCAGCAGTTGAACTCCACATTCTTAAACACAGGGCCTCATATGACACCTTCCCTCGTAAGCATTCCACAGCTTCCAAAGCGCATCCCTATCCATCACCTCCCTTAAACCTCACAAAACTGCCAATGTTTTCCTTTCTAGGAAAGGGTCAAATATGCAGCCAAAGGAAGCCCGGTTAGTCTGCTCAGGGACCTCCTGTGTCCATGCCCCAACATCCCCCTCGATGGAACAGCTGGACCATTCTCTGTGTCCAGCTCTGCATCAGTCAGTTGTAAACGCTGCACACATAACAAACATGTTTATGTTTTTTCTTTTTTTTTCTTTATTTTTGACAATCTTTACATGGTTAATTAGGGCACAAAGGTTCAAGGGCTACAGGAAATTGGGTAAGACTATTCTTTCCACATTCTCTCTCTCTTTTTTTTCCTGTATCTGGGTAAATGGGGAGATAAAGGGAGAAGCCCCACCCAGTCTCACACTCATCCCAGATCCCTGATATGCGCTCCGAGGGTCTTGCTCAAGTGGTTTTGATAGTTCAACAGTTATGAATTGCTGCCAATCTCGCCATTCTAAGCACGATGAAGTCCCTGCAGAATCCACTGATTGACACAGATGTTTATGTTTTTATTGTGCTTCAGGAGGCCAGGCACTGTAACACCAATGCCTCGTATAGTCCTGCTTTTCAAGTGTGGCAGGTGGTTGGAGGTTGAGGTGCAGGGCACCTCCATTATCGTGCCCCAGGAGCCTATCAGAACTAAAGTCTGGACCTGTACCCCAGAATCAGACCCTGCAATTTATAAGATCCCCAGGAAATGTGTGTTCACATTCAAGTCCGGGAACAATTGCTTCGATTTGCACCAAATGGAGACTCAGCCAAGCCTTTGGAGACCTGTGACCCTGGGAAATCCTAGCAGACTGCGTGTAGCCCTCAGGCCCTTCTCTACAGGCTTTGAACTCCCTTCCCTCTGGGTCCTCAGGTGCCTCCGTGCTACCTCAGAAACAGTGGCGGCCTGGGAGTGGGGAGGTCCTGAAGCAGGGTCGGTGAGGTGAGGCGCACGCTGGCGCTGACATAGGGGCCGTAGTTCTAGGACAATACCCAGCATTTCTCGCATTAGCGCTGGGGAACAAGGGAGCCGTTTCTAGACTTGATTTATTGACTTGTCTGTTCTCATTCTGCCACTAATCTGACTGACAATGAAACCCGGCGGAGGCTAGAAGGGAGTACTGCGGGCGGGCCGCTAGCTGCCACCAGGGTCGCACGGGCCGGCTGGGGCAGTGAGCCGGAGGGGAGGGTGTTGGTTTGAGGGCTGTTCTGCGGGTGTGAACGACACGACAGAAAATAGTGGATATCTCCAGGCAGTTGCTTGTCGCTCGGGAAGCAATAGCTTGGCGGTCCACGCGGTGCGAGCAACTGGGGATCGGAGGCAGGCGGCAGCACCAGCAGGGAGGTTGCGCCTCCTGGTCCTTGTTAAGCAAAACAGCCCTCGCGAGAGATTTTCCCGAGCGTCAGGCTCGGAAGCGGGGACGGGAGGGAGCCGGAGGGTCGGGAACCCCGGGATCTGCGGGCTCCGGTCCCCTCGTCTCGCATGCGCTGGGAGCAGGAGAAGGGGGAACGGATGGGGACGCGCGCGCCCGCCCCACAGGAGCACGCGTGGCAGCACGTGGAGACCTCACCTTCAGTCCACGAGTCGCTTCCCCGAGTCCCCTCAACGCGGGCTCGAAGCTCTCCTCTTCTCCGGCGTCCACTCCGCCCAGGATCCCGCACCCCGCCGTGCCGGGGAGCGGGGACCCCCGAGTCGGGGAGCGGTGCCCCGCCCCTCCCTTGTTGCGGCCGAGCCCCGCCCCCCGCCGCCGCCGGCGCCCCGCCCCCGGCCCGCGCCGCGCGCCGCGCTGCCCTCCCTCAGTCGGGCCGGCCCCATGCTACTGAGCGGAGCTCCTCCGGCGGGCTCCGGCCCGGGGCCGCGGGCGCAGGCGGGTGCTGGCGGCGGCCCCGGGGGGTCCCGCCGGGGCGCCGGGGGAGCGGGAGCCGCCGGCCCTGGAGGGGGTGGCAGCGGCGGGGTGGCCAAGTGGCTTCGGGAGCACCTGGGCTTCCGCGGGGGCTCCGGGGGCGGCGGCGGAGGGGGCAAGCCGGCGCCCCCGGAGCCCGACTACCGGCCGCCCGCGCCCTCCCCGGCCGCGCCCCCCGCGCCGCCTCCCGACATCCTGGCAGCCTACAGGCTGCAGCGGGAGCGCGACTTCGAAGACCCCTACTCCGGAGGGTCGTCCGGCTCCGCCGCGCTCGCCGCCCCCGTCGCCGCCGCCCCCGGCCCTACGCCGCCCCCGCGCCATGGCTCGCCCCCTCACCGCCTTATTCGGGTCGAGACCCCCGGGCCCCCGGCGCCCCCTGCGGATGAGAGGCTCTCCGGACCCCCAGCCAGCAGCGACCGGGTGAGTGCAGAGCCGGGCAGGGCTGCTGGGGAGGGGAGCCCAGAGAGGTCTTGGAGGTTGCGAGAGGGACAAAGGTGGCCTGGCCCAGGGCCGAGTCCCCTCGTGTCCCAGCCTCTGGAGGACGCGAGCTTAGTCCCCCGAGTTTTCCCCCACCTTTGTCCAGATTTCAAGCTGCTTATCTGGAATGAGACCCCCGAACTCTACCCTTAACCCCACAGTCGCTGGCCCGGCTACCCTCCCCTCCCGCGCTCCCGCTCTCGGCTTTGCAGCCCTGAGCTGCTCTACAGCGGGTTTTTTTTTTCTCCCCTAACGGAATCTGGGGAGCACCCACCTCCCCCTGCCTGCGGACAGCCTTTCTGCCGCTACTGGGAGCACAGCTGTCTTGCTCTTTGATCTCTGACCCTTTCCCCAGGCCAGAACCAGCACAAAGCGCCCCCCACCCGCATGCTGCTGCTCCTCCCCGCTCCGCCTGTGTCCGCCCGCCTCCATCCCAAGCGCCCTTGCAAGGTGTGAAAACCCCGGCCAGGAGGTGAAGGCAGGAGTTTCTCCTGTGGGCCAAGCGAGAACCGTCCTTCGCCTTGTCGCGTGGAGCGGGGCCAGGCGGGATTGGCTTAGGGGGCTGCTGGCAGGGAGCAGTTCTTGCCAAGGACGCCCGTCAGTGGTGGGGTCCAGGGGCCCACTGCCCACCCCTTCCCTTGACCCTCTCTCCCCCTCCGTGAGGGCTGTTCCGTGCCCAGAACCTGTTGCCCAGATGGGACTAAGCAGTTGAGCCTGTTTGCCCTTTTGCCCCTGAAGCCCATTCTGAAGGAGGCTGGAGCCTTTTGTGGGTCTGCTGGCACTGGGCATGGGCAGCCACTGTTTCTCCAGGACATCCCCCTTCGCCTGGGGGGCTCCTTTTTTCCCAGCTTCAGGGGCCCTTCATGCCCTCAAGCAGAGTGACAGCTGGAAGTACCCCCAAGGCCCCAGAAGTGTGTGAAGATGAGGGCTCCCCTCCAGCTGTGCTGCCCTTCACTCAGCCTCCCGGGGCTGCCTCTGCCCAGCAGAGCAGAGAGCTTTTGTATTGGATCGGAGAGCAGAGTTGGAGTCCAGAGAGTGCCAAGCGGCTGGGTTTCCTGGATGAGAGATGTGTCCGGGTCAGGGCAGAAGCCTCAGGAATGTCAGTGATTTTTCTCTTGAGTTCCTGCCCTGGGGCACGCTGCCTGGGCAGGATTCTTGGCCTGCAGAGAAGGGGTTCAAGGGTACTTCTACAAGGCCATACTCCCCTCCCTCCTCAGTGTCCCTGCGTTGTGTGATGGATGACGGTGGTGACAGTGAGACACAGGGACATGCTAGGCCTTGTTTTCTCCACTGACCATTTAGTCTCCTCTCTGACCACTGCCTGTTGGCACACAGGCCCAAACTGTCCTTGGCCCCTTTCCTCTCTGCAGTGGCTTGGAATGTCCTCACAGGCTACCCACCAAGCCCTGGGTGCCAGGACAAAAACCATGTCCTCCTTATGTCTGTTTCCCAAGTGCCTGACACAATGCTTGGCATCAGGAGGGGTGCACAGCCCTGTATGGTGACTGTCCCCTGCCAGGGTGGCCTGAAAGTCAGGGAACCACCCACTTCCCTGCCACAGCTGCCCCTGTGCAGGACCCTGCCCCCTCCGCTCTGGGGCTGCACCTCACTGTCACCACTGCTTCTTGCCAGGGACGTCCATGCTACCATGTGGCCACCCTGTAACGTAACTCACAGGCTGTTTAGGCCTGGGGGGCCAAGAGATGTCTAATGTTGCGGTCAGCCACAGGGCCAGGAATGAACTCCAGCTGGCTCTCCCAGGAGCCATCTAGTCTGGGGTCTGTTCAACGAGTATAAGAAGGACCCAGATGCCACCTGAGTCGGGTGCTGGCTCCTGACCCTGCTCACTAAAAGGAGCTCTCATTGCTTTGGGAGAAGAGTTTTGGGGGACCCCAGAGTTTTGTACTAGGGAGAGCTCAGATTAGGTGTCTGAGCCCTTGACTGTAAATCCAGTGTGCGGCCCCTCAGCCTGCGGAGCAGCACATAATTGCCACGTGTACCTGAGATGCTGCCACCACCTCCACAGCCCCCCCCCCACACACACACACCCTGGCCCCGCTGAGCTGTTGTTTCTGCTGTGGGGTACTTTCTCTCTTTATTCAATCTATAGGGTCTCTTGGGTTCTTGTTGAGGTGTCTCCTCCCATGGTCAAATGGCAACTGGAGACCGAGATGTGGCTTGGTCTGGCTTGCCTGGCTGGTCAGCAACTCTCCTTCTGGAGCCCCATGTCTGGGTCCTGCAGATGAAAGGGGTGGAGAAGCTTCTGTGATGAACTGGGGAGGTAGAAGGGAAACCCAGGGAATCTGCACAGGACCCCGAGAGACCTGAGGGGCCCAGGGCTCTTTGCCTGCTCCCCATGTAAGGCTCTGGCTGTTTTCCCACGCCGAGACCCACTGCTATAGGGCACAAGGGTGGCCATCTGGGCAGGCCTGGTGAGGCAGGTGTGGGAGCAGCAGGAGCTGCGCCTCGCAGCGGGCAGGCAAGGCCTTGCCATCTGGCTGCAGGAAGAGCTCCCTGGTGGTGCTGGGCCCTCAGCCTGCATCCATCTGGGCCCCACTGGCAGAGGGACTGGAGAGCAGCGAGCCTTTCCCTTCCTTAACTTAGACCTTCAATAGAAAAATACCTGGTCGGGTTAGGGAAGGGGGAGAGAGCCGAAGAAGTGGACCCAGATTAGATGAAGCTCTGAGCCATCTCTGCCCATCTTCGCAGTGTGTCCTTTGCCTTGGTTGTGCCAAGATGCACACTTGTGACATGGATGAGAAGCCTGGCACCAGACACAGAGCAAGGCCCTTATTTGTAGCTCTTGGAGGGACTCGTGGAGTTTGTGGGTGTTCTAGAAACTGTGACTTGGTTCCTGCTTTCCTGGGAAAGGTGCATAGCTTCATATGCTCATGGGATCCACAGGCCCTCAAATATGAAGGTTCTTTTTTTTTTTAAGGTTTATTTATTTTTTTTAGAAAGACAGATATAAAGAGAGGAGGACAGAGAGGAAGATCTTCCATCCCATGGTTCACTCCCGAAATGGCTGCGATGGCTGGAGCTGAGCCAGTCTAAATCCAGGAGCTCAGAGCCTCTTCCAGGTCTCCCATGTGGGTGCAGGGTCCCAAACCTTTGGGCCATCCTCAACTGCCTTCCATGCCACAAGCAGGGAGCCGGATGGGAAGCAAGACCACCAGGGTAGAACCAGCACCCATATGGGATCCTAGTACATGCAAGGCAAGGACTTTAGCTGCTAGGCTATCATGATGGGCCCGTGAAGGATCTTTTGAAAGATTTGTTTTTACTTCAAAGTCAGAATTACAAAGAGAGGGAATGACAGATTGTACATCTCTTGGTTCACTCCCCCAAAGGTCACAAGTGGCAAAGCTGAGCCAGTCCAAAGCCAGGGGCTTCTCATGGATCTCCCACATAAGTGCAGGGGTCCAAGAACTTAGACTATCCTCTCCTGCTTTTCCAGGCCATAATCAGGGAGCTGGATTGAAAGTGAAGCAGCTAGGACTTGAACTGGTGCCCGTTTGGGATGCCAGTGCTGCAGGTGGAGGAATAGCTTGCCATACCACCATGCCAGCCCCGAATAGGAAGAACTTATAAGAATAGGTAGATGGTATCCACATGGATGTGGGCCCTCCAGCCCCATTTTGGAAGGGAGAGAAAAGACTGTTGATGTAAGAAAGCTGAAGTGAGGGTGACAAGGGCTGTCAGCTGGGAGCTTGTCTTTGCCGATGTCTGTGTTTATTTCTGAGGTAACACAGGCCTAGGCACTGAGAGAGACCTTGTGCTTAGAGGACCTAGTCCCTGCCTCGCTTTAATTCTCCTTCTCAGGACTTCCACCAAGTCTGGAGGCTTCAACTTAACTTGCAGATATTTCTGGTTGAGATGGAGGTGGCGGGGTGGTGGTGGCGGCGGTGAGGTTCAGGAGAAGACAGAGAAGAGAGGAGCTGGGGAGCAGGACAGAGAGCTGGGGACTGGTGAGGCCTCAGCCATCCGGGGCCCAGGCTGGATGTCTTGGCTGTGCTTGGTGCGTCACGGAGGGCTGTGGCTGTTGGGGGAGGGCATGAAGATGGCCCACCCTTGCAGAGGCGCAGCACTGTGAGGCGCCTTCCTCTTCTGGAGCTAGCTGGCTTCGTACCTGTCGCTGTGAGCTGCTGGGAGGCCAGGCCTTTGGGGTTTTCACCTTTGATGATGTGGTGCCGGACACTTGCTGAGCTCCTGCTGGTGCCAGGCACCAGGCCGGTTGATGCTGACAGTCACTTGCTGAGGGAGTTTCCCAGGCAGACATTAGAAGAAGTACATTGCAAGAAGTAGGTGTAAAAGATTTTGATGTTGGGGGAATCTCAGTGATGTTCCATTTCCAAAACCATGACGAGGTCAGTAGGTTTTCAGTGACAAAGGGTTTCCATGGTTAAATACTTTGGGGGAATAATGAAGCAGAATTAGCCTTTTTTTTTTTTTTTTTTTTTTTTGCTGTAGGACTGCTCAGAGCTAATGTGTATTTTCAGTCTACAAATAGAGGAAAATAGGTGCTACATTTCCCAAATTTCTGGAAAAATCTATGATAAGGCTCTGAGGTATAGAAGACTCAGGTCGCTGTCTGGTCTCCACTGCTGGCACGCTCTGTATGCTAGACAAGCACTGAGACCTTAATAGCCAAATGTAAATGATGATGAATGTAAAAGATTATTATCAGGGTCATCTCGTATTGAGCACCGACTCCATGCCAGCCACTGGGCTAACAACTACACATTCCTTTTCCCCTTTTCCTCTCCTTCCTCCGAGCTCCTGCCCCAGTTGTGTACTGTTGGAATCCTCAGTCTACAGCTAAAACATTTCCAGACTGAACAGAATAAAGCAGCAGAAGGGAGGCTAGTGGTTGACTCTGGGGACTTTGGAGATGGAGCTAACACTTTATGCAAGGTGCCCTGCTTGCTTCTCCTAGACCCACACCTGCTAGAGCCCCATGGGTGGGGTCAGACACATGTTGCATGGCCCAATGGCCTAGTGGAAGCACAAGCAGCTTGTGGGCCTGCTAGCTGCCTGGGAGAGGCCTGGGCAGGAAGGCAATGGGGAGTGTGACAACTGGGAGGGACACTGCCTAATGGGAGCAGATGCAATAGCAGGTCTTGGAGGCAGCCCGCGGAATGATGGACAGGGGCCCTCTCTGGGCAGCCCCTTTACCCATTAGTCAGGCAATCCATCAGCAGTCAGCAGTGTTCTGGCTGTGCAGAGGAAGGGCCTCGGCATCAGCTGTGGTTGAGGCCTTCCCTGGAGGCCTCCTTTCTGCCTGGAGCCAAAGGCTTGGAGGCCCATTGGCATGTGGCTTCTCCTGAGAGCCTTGTCCTACAGCTGCTTCTGGTCAGCCAGAGCTCCGAGGACATGGGGATCTGAAGGTTGGTATCCCATGGAGGCTGGCGTCTGGAGAGAAGGGCACCTTTGGAGAACCCAGTAGAGGTACATGGAACACTGACTGTGGGCCAGGCTCTGGGGTGGTTGCAGGACATGATATTGGGCAGATCAGGGACCAGAAACAACGGATTGGTTGGTGATAGGCACCGGAAGCTATGGGACAGTTTTGCCCACTGAGTCATCTGTGCTGTTCCCTGGGAAGGCAGGCCTGGGCTCCAACGGGACCCTTCTGTGCCCAGAGTGGACACCTGTCCTGCCAACCTTCCCAGTTGTCCTCTCTGCAGTGTTCCCAGCTCCTGGGCCCGTGGGCGGCTCCTGTGGCTGTCCCAGCCCAGGCTGGGGCTTCCTGGAGCAGGGTGTGGAGCCAGGAACAGCACAGAGGAGCCATTGAGCTGCCCACAGAGCTGCCACCTGGGTGCCCAAAGGCGCTGCAGGTTTGGGCTGTCGAGCTCCTGCCAGTCTGGGAGGGCTCAAAGCTCTTGGCATGAGCCCAGGACTCAGGTAGGAAGGGAGATGGATGCAGCTTGGGCCAGGTTTGTTGAGAGAGGGGCTGGAGGGGCTCCATGTAGTAGGGGCAGGTCTGAAGGTTGTTGGAGGATGGGCCAGACCCCTCTGCTACGAGCAGCTTCTAGGGGTGGGGCTGTACTCCCCAGGGCTGCGTCCCCTCATGTGACCCCACCCCACCACACATCATTCATGCTTCCTCCCTCTTCTGAATGAACAGGGGAAAGTGCTTCCTTTGTCTATTCAGCTGTTGTCTGTGAAGGGATTTTACAGATACTTCCGGAGCTTCCACCAGGAATATGGCCAGAACTGTGCTCCTGCCCTCAGGAAGACGGGGCAGTGGGCCCTCCCTCGTCAGTGGAGTCACACGCAGCTGACTAGCAGGATTGCTTCCCGTGGCAGGGTTTCAGCATCCTCTGGGCCCTGGGCTGGGATGGGGCTGTGGGTGCCACTGGCCTGGGAAGAAGTGTGTGGAGGTGGGGTTATCACTGCTTCCTAGGACTAGAGGTGAGGGGTTAGAGAAGGGGTAACAGGTGGCGATAGAATAGAAATATTTTAAAATTAATTGTCTAGGAGGCAGTGCATTGGTATAGCACAGTAATCCTCTGCCTGTAACACTGGTATCTGTTATGGGCACAGGTACCCGCTGCCCTGCTTCTGATCCAGTTCCCTGCTAATGGCCAGGGGAAACAACAGAAAAGGGCCAGATCCTTGGGCCCCTGTACTCTGTAGGAGACCCAGAAGATGCTCCTGGCTTTGAGCTGGCCCAGCTCTGTCCATGGCAGCCAATTAGGGAATAAAACAGTGAATGGAAGATGTCTTTCTCTCTCTTTTCTCCCTCTCTAAACAAATCTAGGAAATTATTCATTTAAATTTTATTTAGTTTTAAGTTTTATTTTCATTTGACAGGCAGAAGAGGGATTGACTTCCCGTCTGCCAATTCACTCTCCAAAGACTATGACAGCCATGCTGGGCCAGTCCAAAGCAGAAGGCAGGAACTCTGCCTGGGCCTCTCACTTGAGCGGCAGGGGCCCATGGTGCATGTTAGCAGGAACCTGGAGTCGGGAGCAGAGCAGGGCCTTGAAACCCAGGCACTCTGACTTGAGATACAGGCAGCAAATGCCTGCCCTCAGGTGTTTATTGGAGCTGGAAAGACAAAAGTGACAAGGAGTTCAGGCTAGTGGCTAAGCTGCTGCCGCTGCCTATGAGAAGCCAGGAGCTGGGGCCTTTCCCAGAACAAGGTGGGAACAAGGCAAGAAACGATGTATTAGAGGCCATGGGGCCTCACCAGAGAAACAAGCAGAGGGCCTCCCTGAGAGGTTAAGGTTCCACCAGGAGGGGGTCCTCATTCCCAGATTCTGTAACACAGAGTAAAGGCAGCCACCTTCACAGGGCCCCCAGCGCAACTGGCTTTCCAATGGCTTTGCTGCTGCTGAGAACTGAAGCCTAGACTGCCCTGTGGTCAAGGGAAGGGCACTAACCCCCATCCTGCCCAGGGCGTAGCGCTCCTGGGATCTGGCAGCCCTGGATAGCCCGGGCTCCACCCGAGGAAAAGCCTGCAGCCAGCTGGGAGAAAGGCTCCATTGTCCCGGGTGTTCCCCGCCCCCAGCACCTGGAGCACTTCTGCTGGGTGTGTAGCTATGGTTTGCTCCTCTTTGACTGGGGGCAGGGACAGAGCCCTGGCCGGGAGCCACTTGTGTGGGAGGAAGGGGCAGAGTGGGAAGCGGAGGGCCAAGGCAGGGCCTTTCCTGCTCCTGTCCCTGTCTTCCAGGAGCCAAGGACACCTTCACAGGGCCTCAGGGCTTTCCCAAGGTCTCTCTCCCAGAATGCCCACGGTGACAGGTTGGCAGCCAATTCTCCAAAAGGTTCCATGGTAGCCCCATGACGGGGATCTTGTCAGAGCAATGACAGGGAGAACATAGCCTGCCTTCCCTGGTGGTCAGCAGCAGATGCATTGGTTGGCGTGGACCCTGCTTTTCTGAGTTGCCTGGCTGCTCCATGCTTGCTCTTTGACTTCTTCTAGCATCTTTGTTTTTTAAAATATTTATTTCTTTGAGAGAGAGTGGGCGAGCATGCCCTTCCACCTGCTGGCTCCCTCCTCAAATGTTCACAACATCCAGGGTTGGGTCAGGATAAAACCAAGAACCAGAAACTCCACCCACACCTCCCACATGGATGGCAGGGTCCTGTGCACTTGGGCTATCATCTGCTGCCTCTGCCTCCTTGGCTGCAGTAGCAGGAAGCTGGATCAGAAGCAGAGGTGCCAGGACTCAAACTGGCCATCCAGTATGAAACGTTTGTGTATGTGATTCAATGCCAGCTCCTTTCCAACGGCTGCGTAGCAATCCTCTGAATTAAGCCCCCATGTTGAACAGCCTGGTGCTGCCTCTTGTCCTGCTTTTGGACCCTGACTAAGGCAGGCCCAAAGACCCAGTTGCTTCATCCTGGCCATTTAGGCCTAGGAGATGGCCCAGAGGCACACATTGGTTAAAAAAAAAGAAAAGAAAAGAAAAGTGTCCCTCAGGGCTTGCCTTAGACATCTGGGGCCCTGGCTCCAAGGTAGTTCTCCCCAAACTCACTGGATGGGGCATCTGGGGCACCTCCGCAGCCTGAAGCCTGCTCTCGTTACTGCTCCACAGCTGGCAATCGTAGAAGACTATGCAGATCCATTTGATGTTCAGGAGTCTGCTGAAGGCTCAACAGGAGCTTCAGGAGCCCCGGAGAAGGTCCCTGAGAATGATGGCTATATGGAGCCCTATGAGGCCCAAAAGATGATGGCTGGTGAGTAGCAGGGGTTGTGGCTGGGGTGGGGAGGGGGAGGAGGTTGCTGATCCATGAGGCTTGGGCTCTGCAGAACAGGCTCTGGTACCCACACATCCAGGGATTGATTCCTAAGGACTGGTCCCCATTCATTCAAGGTGATCATGTTGGAGAGGAAGTTGTGCCGTGACAGACCTGCAGATATAGAGGAAGTCAGGCAACCAGAAGGTCAAATAGAAGCAATTGAGGTCACCAGGAAGGGCAAGCTTGTGGTGTGGGCTGGAGGTTACTGGTCCCAAAAAGAGCATCACTGGTTTTGCAGAAGGGGATGGTGAGATATCAGAGTGTGGCATTAATGACCTTGAGGACAAGTGATTAGAGATATGGACACAATGGGGTTGGGTAAAAGTAGCTCAAGGATCTATGGGAGGGAAAAGTGAATAATAGGTGGCTTTGAAGACAAGCCAAGGGAGAATCCTGGGAAAGAGGCTGAGTCAGGATGGTCAGATAGGATGGAGACAGGTCATCTAGACCAAGGGCCCAAGGTCACAGTTGGAAAAGGTGCTTTCAGGAGCAGATATTGTCAATGCTAAAGACATGGTGGGAGCTGAGATGTCGGAGAGCACTTGGAAGGCTGAGCTACTGTTCTTGGACTTGTTCCAGGGAGACGAGTAGAGCCATTGTGAACCCGAGCAAGGGAGGAACAGGATGAGTATGGCACAGGCAGAGAGTCATTGAGGCTGTGCCATACAGAACACACTGGCGGAGGGAACCAGGGGAGGAGAAATTAGCAGGATATCGAGGGACCACCAGTCAGTACCCCTTCCTCCTCTCAGGAGCTTAGAATCCTTGAAAAATAAAGATAAAACCAAGGGAGGGTAACATGTCAGTTTTATTGCTGATAGCATTGATTGGAGAGCATTACTCAGCTATGCCACCAACAATGGGTTTCTTCACCACAGAATTACACTTGTTCACTCAGACAGCACATGACACAGGGGCAGACCGCTCACCACAAGGAGGAGAAAGAACCAGAATGTTTTCTCCCTACAAGAAGGCAGATCGGAGAAAGAGCCCACGCCTTCGCTAGCCAATCAGACAAGCTGCTCCTCTTCCTCAGGAGAGGCTGGTGAGGGGGCAGAGAGCCAGCGGTCAGGCATGTCATCGCAAGTATCACTCCACAGATCCCCTGGAAAGCTATAGTTCACTCTGGCCATGATCTAGGGCATCCTCAGGGTGGGAAAGAACAGGTGAACTGTGGAGAAAGAAGGTGGGTGAGTTTCCCATGTAGTGGACAGAAAGGGAGACACTGAGAGGTGGCTACTGCCAGTGCCTTGGAATTGCACACAGACGTTTCAGTGCACATTTTGGGGGTTACATAGCTGCCAGACTTTTATCAGATGTTCACAGGTATCCTCTGTCTCAAGTGACAGTGTAAATGTGACTGGAGATACAGAAGCAATGGATTTCATGAGGCAGGTTGTCCAGGGAGAAATGGTGGGGAGTGAGAGATGAGGTCTGCCTCAGGGAACAGAGGCCAAGAGGGGACCCCAGGAAAGAGACCAAGCAGGTGAGATCCGGGAGCAGACCATCCCAGAAGATAACCTGGCCAAGGGGATGGTGATAACTGAGTAACCAGGAAGCACTTTCTGGTTGTTAAAATGAAGTCACTTGGGAAACAGGAAGCTAAGGAGAACTGGGCAGCAAGGAGGAGACAGAGCAGGGGAGGAACCTACCTCAGTTTCCTAAACCTGTCAGCTTCTGCTGCCCAGCCCTTCCTGGCTGTCTTGGCATCGTTTGCAGGCCTTTCCTTCTGTCTACCTCTGCCTCCAGTGGACCCCCTGCCACTGAGGGTGAGAGACAGGGATGTGTGACTGCCGAGCCTTATACACACACACACACACACACAGCTGGGCCATCCCGCAGGAGGCACACTTCATAGCAGTGAAGGTGACCCCTTCAGTGAGACCTGAGCTCTCACACTTCCTGCCTTGGCAGAAATCCGGGGCTCTAAGGAGACGACGGCAGTTCAGGCCTTGCCTCTGTATGACACGCCGTACGAGCCAGAGGAAGAGGGGGTTACCCCGGAGGGAGAGGGGGCCCTCTGGCTCCGGGAGTCCCGCCTGCCTGAGGATGATGAACGACCCCCTGAAGAGTATGACCAGCCCTGGGAGTGGAAGAAGGAGCGGATTTCCAAAGCCTTTGCTGGTGAGTCTTGGTGGAGAGGACAGCTCTGCTGGGACCTGGAGCACCTGGCCTGCCCTGGGGGAGGGAGGCATGGCCCGCAGGGACCCAGGAGGGTGACCGTTGGGTGGTGTGGACACAGTGCCATATGCAAGGTCAGGCGAAGAGTGAAGCCTTCCAGAGAGAGGCTCAGGCCTCTTCCTCCTATTGTATTTACAGCCAAAGAAACTGCCGCGCAGAATTCTGAAACTTGTGTTGTGTGTTAAATTCAGTTAACAAAAGAAGGGATTTAACACAGAACCTTCATTCCAGCCATGCCAGACCCTAAGGGAGGAGGCATCCCTTGATAGCCACTGTGTGCGGCTCAGGTTTCTCCCACCCCAGCCATACCACTGGCCAGCCCACAGTCTCCTGGGACAAGAGCTGGGTGGAGCCAGAGTCTGTGGGTTGGTAGGGGGGAAAGGGGCTTTCCCTCCCAGATCCTTCTGGTGCGAATGTAAAGGATTAAATGCTACTAGATTGGAGTCCCTCTCCCAGTGTGCCACCAGCCCTGATTGGTCAGGGGCTCTTCGATAGCTAGGCCCAGCCCTCCCCACCTTGGCTCCCCAGACAGTGAGGAATCCCAGGCTGCTAGTCTGCTTCCTGTAAAACACATAGTGCCTGGATGGGCCGTTTATCTCCAGCAGTCTCCTTGGAGAATCAATACTGTTTGGATTGCTTAATGGGAAAATCTATGCCCGTCATTAGGAAACCTCGTTAGCAGTCCTGCAGCCACCCATCGGTGGTATCACTCTTTGTGGGGTGGGGGTTTGTTTCAGTGGAACATCTCCCCAGCCTGGGCCTTCCTAACAGCCTGGGCCATGCAGTCATGGGTTTACTACCCCTGAGTTCCCAGGCTGCAGGGGGGTGGCGGGAAGAGGGGGAAGGGAGGCCCCAGTGATCTGGGTGGGGCACTGGATGGTGTGGGTGCCTCCCACATCTGCCTTTTCCTCTCCTGCCCCACACCTGGCCCTGCAGATATGAAGTCCAGTGAGGGGCCCCTCAGGCTGGGGGAGCAGGGTCCTCTGTCTTGCCTCTCCCCTTCCCCTTTTGCCACGCCTGAGAGTCCTCAGAAGCTGTCCCTGCCCTTGCCCCTTCCTCTGCCCCTCTTCCTTTCTAGGCTGTCCTGTTTCCTGCCTCTGGATTTTGGTGTCTCAACCTCTGCCTCTTTCCGTCTCTGTCACTGTCTGTTTCTCTCCTCCCTCCTGCTACTGGCTCCAGTTGACATTAAGGTCATCAAAGACCTACCTTGGCCTCCGCCCGTGGGACAGCTGGACAGCAGCCCCTCCCTGCCTGATGGGGACAGGGACATCTCCGGTCCAGCCTCACCCCTCCCTGAGCCCAGCCTGGAAGATGGCAGCGGTGGGTCTTGCGGGGCGGGGACTTTGGCTCCTAGCTTTTGGGGTTTCGTGGGCTTGAGTTGGGGGCTGAGAGTGGGCCTGGTAGTGAGAACCCGGAAAGAGTAACTGCTAGGAAAGAGGGAGACGACACAGTGTGCATTCCTATCTCCCAAGCTGTGAGGATGGAGTCTGCTACAGAAGCCCCTGGGCAGTAGGCTTCTGTTTCTTCCATGTCACAAAAACCTATTGTTTTAAACTCATTTCCTTGGATGCAGAGGTTCCAGGTGTTGGGGGAAAAGGAAGCAGGGGAAAGGAGTTGGTGCTGGCACTGAGACGATGTGATCCTGGTACCTGAAAGACCATAGGGGTATAGGGAGCAGACATGAAAAATGGGGAGAGAGGCACTTGTGCTCTGTGTGAACTGGGGTGGCACCTACTGCTGCATCCCTGCCTGGGGGCTGTTGCATTTTGTGAAGGCAGCACAGAGGAGGGTGCCCACTGGGGTGCAGCCCTGCCTTGGCGTAGTGGTCAGGCTGCCCTGCTCTGGGAGGGCAGAGCCCCTGCTGAGCTTCCTTGCCTGAGCAGGATTAGCCTGTCAGGACAGGATGGCACTGAGGGGAATCAGATAATTGTTCTCAGATCGATAAGTCATTTCTCCAGAATGGCTTGGCAGGGAGATTTGAAGAACGGTAATGAACTCTGAGGAGGAGAAAGGAACAATATTATCAGCTCTGAAGCCATCCTGAGGGGGATGGGATGGGATGGGGCAGGCAATGGTGCCCCCCCAAGAGAAGCCAGGACATTTCTCTCCTTGCTGCTTTCTTTCTCACCCATACTTTGGGGTTTGGGAAGCCCTATGTGCTAGAGGGCTGAGCCCAGTCTCCCCGCCACCAGGGAACAGACCCAGAGTGCTGTCCCTTAGAGCCTGTGAGCCCAGTGAGCGAGTACACCCTTGACCCCTACGGGCACGGGAGGGTGTGTGGTGAGGTGCTGCCTGTTGGACAGGGCCTCGTGTCCAGGGTCTTCAGGGTGTGTGACCACCGTGTTCTCCACAGCCCAGTTTGAAGGACCAGAGAAGAGCTGCCTGTCACCTGGCCGGGAGGAGAAGGGGCGGCTACCTCCTCGATTGTGCACAGGGAACCCCAAGTCGGCCAAGTCCCCAAGCGCTGAGCCCAGCAGTCCCCTGGGAGAGTGGACAGATCCAGCCCTGCCTCTGGAAAACCAGGTGTGAGTGTCTGTGTCCAGCCGGGCACTCCCGTCCCCTCTCACCTGCTGGGCACTGGCTGCCTTTCAGCCAGAACGGGGGTGGGCCAGAACAGCAGGGTACCCAACAGAAATGCCCCCCACCCCCGTTTCTCTCTCTCACTCTCAGCTGGTACCACGGGGCCATCAGCCGAACCGACGCCGAGAACCTGCTACGGCTGTGCAAAGAGGCCAGCTACCTGGTACGCAACAGTGAGACCAGCAAGAATGACTTCTCACTCTCCCTCAAGTGAGTTGCGCTGGTCCCCTCCTGCCCAGACAGTCCCTGTGAGCTGTGGCACAGAGTCCTGAGGTGTCAGAGGCTGTTGTCAAAGAGCTCAGGGACTGGCTGAGGGGGTACATCGCTGGGCTATGGCATCCAGCTCGCTCAGCTGGCTGTGCAGCCTAGGGCCTCTTAACCTTTCTCTCAGCCTCAGTTTCCCTACTGGTAAAAAGGAGCAGAGTAGTGTCTGCTTATAAGGAAGGATGAGATGGAATAATGCATGGAAAGCACTTAATGTCATGCAAAGTACTCAGTAAAGCATCACCATCAGCATTAATGGAAACCCAGGATATTCTAGAAGCATAGGTTGGCCTGGGGGAGTTAACAGGGCAAGATGGGTCATGAGCTTCCAGCACCATAGTCCCTGGACAAGTGTTCCTGTTTACTGGAGAAGTTGGCTGAGTGGGGGTGGGGGTCTCTGAACTGTGAAGTGCCGGGGGTGGGAGGCGGTGGGGAGAGGCAGGGCCTCCCAGGAGCAGATGGGCACAGAGTAGTCTGAAAGGAAAGCCCACCCTGCCTGCCTCTTGGCACCCACCTGAGGCAGCTGGTTTGGGGGAGGGTGTCCTTGTGCCTTCCCCCATCCTTCCTGGGATACCTATCCCACTCCCTACCACATTCCCTGGATAATACTCCGCACTTCAAACTATGGCAGTCTGGGACTACAAATTGCTGCTAAACCAGGCACATTAAGGGGATAATTAGGCACGTGTGTTAAAAGATAACAGAAGAATAGCCCAGCTCTAGTCTGGTGTCCTCGGTTTGGTAAAACCAGCTGTGTGACTCTAGGCCTGTCACACATCATCTTCTGAGCCAGGATTTCTCCCTTTGCAAAATGAGTTGGTGGGTACGCTTACATTTCTTTCAATTCTCACGCTCAAGGAGTATGCAAATTTTAAAATCAAGAGTGTTTTGGAAATTTTCATTTGTCAGAGTTTGATTTGCATGAATTTGAGGAATCTATAGTGCTGTAAAACTTATAGTTAAAATCCATGGAGCATATACCAGATGACACTGCAGGGCAGTTAGGCAAGTTCAGAGAGGTTTGTGACCTGCCCAAGGCTACCAGCTAATAAAGTCTCCTCCAAGTCCGGATTTGAGTCCAGCTGGGTCTGACTCCAAGACCCTGCTCTCTCCTTCTGTGGCGCCCCCCCCCCCCACACACACACGGTGCTGGGTACCCGTGGCTGGACTGTCCAACGCAGGGGGGGACACCAGGAGTCCAGTGGAGCGGGCAGGCCCTCCTTTCCTCGGGAGAGGCTGGTCTGGACGTTACCCTAGCCCTGGTCTGTCTGCCAGAGCCTCGTTTGCATATAAATGGCTTCTCTGAAATACAATTATGGGTTTCTCTTCTCTCCCTAATGGAAGGGCTTTCACTGGTAATTAAACAGCTTCTTCAGAAAGCTGTGCCAGCTCCAGCCCTGGGGCCCAGCTGTCCCACCCTAGCCCCCTGATGGTCTGGTCAAGGCTTTTCTGGATCCTAATGGACTCTTGGGACTTTGTCCCAGGAGGTCAGAGAAAGCTTGGCCACTTCCCCTCCCTTTCCCCAGGAGGAGGGTGACATGAATGGAGGCTGGGCTGTGTGGCCATTTGTTGCGCCTTCTGGTCGGGATGTATCATGCAGCTTTCCAGATGCCTGCCCCTGCCCAGTTCTGCCCTGGAGTGTAGGGAGGGAGAGCACCAGGGGGAAGGCAGGGCCCACACTGCTACCCACAGCCTTGGGCCTGGGACTGGGCACGGCAAAGACAGTGGTGGTTGACTGCTAACTGCCTGCCCACTCTGCTACGCACAGGGGCTTGTACGCTGGCCTCCAGCCCTTGGCCCCTGTCCCTTGGAGCCTCTGTGGTCACAGCCTCAGCTCTAATCACATATTTACAGAGGGCCCCACACCCTGACACGCTTCCAGTCCCTGTCTCCACCCCCTCCTCCCTGCACACAGCCGGACAGGATGACCTCAGAGGAGACAGAGGGATGGAGTTAGTGGTCTGGTTTTCCTCCCTTGCCTCTCTCCATTTGCCCTGGGGGCCTGGTGAGGTGAAGCCTCCTTTGCAGTCAGGCAGGGCAGGCAAGTGAGGTTTACCTGCCTCTCCCCTCAAAGTCGGGGTTCCTGGGGCAGGAGCAGACCCTACTTCTTATACCCCCGACCCTGCCAAGCTCTGCCCTTGTCACCATGAGGGCTTCAGCCAGCAACTAAATGTTCAGCCTTGGGGCTCCCTTGCCCTTGCTTGTGGGTGAGTTTCAGGCCTGGCTGGGCAGTTCTTGCTGGGGACCCACCCTTACACTGCATCTCTACCGCTGAGAGTGCCTGGACACTGCGGAGCTGGCAGAGCTCCCAGCAGTGGGGTCCTGGTCTGCAGGGAGGAGGGAGATAGGGGGCAGGAGGCAGGGCAGGCACAAATGCTGATTACTCTCTGGTCTGAGAGGCTTTGGGGTTCCAGGCTGAAGGGCCATATGCCTGAGCTGGAGACTTGGCTCAAGACCCCTTTGTAAGGGGCTTAGAGACGCCCCCAGGAGAAGACAGCTGAGCCTCTCCAATTACTTAGGGTAGGGTGGGGGAAGGTACTTCCAGATCTGCTTGCAAGAAGGACCCCCCCCCCAAGACTAGGTTGACTGTCACATCTGCCCACCTACCCTCCTGCCAGCAGCATCTGTGGCTCCACCTGAGTCACAGGGAAGGGTGCACAGGTTGGAGGGGAGCCACCTGCCTGCACCCCTGTGCCCATGCCTAATGCAGACTTAGCACAGCTCGCTCACCATCTCCTGCCCTCCCAGCTGCCCTCTGCGGGTCTCCCTCCCTTGGCTGAGGGAGGGGCGGGCCGAGCGGGAGCTTCCTCCTCACCAGGGTCTCCTCTTCCTCTTCCCAGGAGCAGCCAGGGCTTCATGCACATGAAGCTGTCGCGGACCAAGGAGCACAAATACGTGCTGGGCCAGAACAGCCCGCCCTTCGGCAGCGTGCCTGAGATCGTGCACCACTACGCCAGCCGCAAGCTGCCCATTAAAGGGGCTGAGCACATGTCCCTGCTCTACCCCGTGGCCATCCGGACTCTGTAGAGAGGCGAGGCCGGGGGCCCTGTGCCCGCCACCTGGCTGAGGCCCAGGATCTCACAGACCTTTCTTCCCTTTTCCTGGGATGCGGTGGATGCTGGAACTACCTTAATTTATTCTAAAGGGGAAGGGGGCTGGGAGTAAAGGGTTGTACGGAGCCAGGGAGAAAAGAAACCCTGGAGAGAAAGGATAGTAAGCCTCTGGGGGGAGGGGGGACGAAGGGGGCTCTGGAGCCGCTGGCCTCCTGGAGAGTTTCCTAGCGGCTCCAGCCCTTCCCACCCTGGGCTGGGTGGGTGCAGGGGTGCACGTGGGCCCGCGACGCCCCCGTTATCTCCCAGGCCCCAGAGCCCCAGGACGGCTCTGTGCTGCGGGAGGGTTGAGAACAGGGCCCTGGCCCTGGGGAAATTGTGCAGTCCCTGCTCCGCGCCGGCTCCCGGCCAGAGGCCATAAATAAATACGATCTTGCCAGGCAAAGCAGCATCTGCGCCTCGGGCGCCGCCCGGGTCGGGAAGGGGGGGTCGGACACGCGGCCGAGAAGGAAAGCGCGGGGAGCGCGTTCGGAGCGGCAAGCTGCTTCCTTTGACGAGGGGTCGAGGCAGCCGTCCGCGGCCCCAGGGCCCGCCGGCCGCCCGGCGCCCCTCCGCGGAGCGCGGCTGCCCGGGAGCGCGTCCGATTTCCTGCCAAAGCCATTTGTCTGGGAGGAGGGGGAGACGCCGAGACAAAGAGGCAGCGCGCCAGGCGGGGCGGCGGGCCTGCCACGCGGAAGTCGCGGGCCCGGGGGTCCCGGCTCGCTTCCTCTCCAGAGGCCGCCGCCCGCCGCGCGCTCCGCCCTGACGCGAGGGCTGCGCCCCCTGCCGGCCGCCCAGGACGCCCTCCTGCAGGCGCGGCCCCACCGGCTAGCTGGACGGACACCCCGGGAGGACAGTCTGTGGTCCTCTTTCTGAGCCCCCAGTGGTGCCAGTCGCAGGACTTGGCAGTTTCGGACCCAGAAGCTATTTTCTCAATGTTGAGGAAACGTGAGGAACTCTTGTTGGGGGGAGGGGAGGAGGATGATAAGACAATAGAAAAGTTCACTTCAAAAGTGCCCCTGTGGGAACGCGCAGACAGGAAACAGCCCCGGAGGCTGGGTGACATGCTTGCCTGCAGACCCATTAAGTACAAGTGTCCAAGCCTCTCATTGAAGAAACGGCTGGGAGCAGCTGAGGGTCTAGGACAAACCCCACGCTCCCGTGTTTCAGGCTCCAGCGGGGTCTCCTCCTGCTCTGCCCCTTCCCTCCTGCCCAACCCCCGCACTTCTCTTCCCCACCTCTACCCTGTTTTTCTGTGTCTCAGTCTGCTTGCAGAGCCTCACACTAGCGTGCTGGGGCCTGTCACAGAGCATCCCTGGGGCTGGAGGGGAGCAAGGGTCTCGCTGCTGGAGTGCCTGATTTGGCACTTGGTCTTCTTTCTGGGATAGTGGCCCAGGCTCTGAGGGATGTGTGTACCAGCCTGGAGCTGGCTGGGTGAGTGATTTTCTCTGCAGGTGTCCTTGGGGCAGAATAAGGAAACCCTGTAGGCAGAGAAGCGATTTATTTGTAAAGGAGACTGTTGGGACCCTGGAGCGGTGGAGCAGGTGGAGTAGCCCTGCATTGTCATCCAAGGCCTGACTGCAGAGCATGTTAACCACATGGGAGCAGCCACTGTGCCGCTGGTCTCTGGGCCCTAACAGACTTCCTGTAAAATGCCCGCTGGGGTCCAGCCTTACCCCATCTGAGGCCTCTGCCAGTCCTTTTGAAGTAGAGAGCCTGCAGAGTGGCCGAGGTGGGAAGAGCTCTGTGCTCCTGCTTCCCTCAGGGGCCCCTGCACTCCGAGTCCACGTGTACACACACACTCTCTCTCTCATCCTCTCTCTTTCCCCCTGCCCTTTCTTCCCCTCTCCCACTGTGGGTCAGCTTGTCTTGGGAGGTTTCCCTTAGCCTGAAACAAGAGGCTTGGTTTTGCCACAAACCAGCAGCTTCCCTATTTCCCAGCCTCCAGAACCTGGGCAGCTACCCTCACTGCTCCAGGCGAAGGCACATTCTGGGCCTGGGGAAGAAGGGCAGCCAGGAATACCCGTATGGGGGCCCTAGAAGTTCTCGTAATGGTGGTAGAAGTGTGTTCGGTCCTGCCTGTTGATGAGCTGACAGGCCTTTTCCACATTCTTGGTCATGCCAGGAGGGCCACAGCTGAACACCCCGATCTTCCGGACCTAGAGGAGGAAGTGCAGGCTGGTTCTGAGGCAGAGCTAGCTCAGACTTCTTCCTACCGAGGGCCGGCCCAGGGACCAGGCAGAACCCAGTGTGCTTGGGGAGGGCATGCTCCCTGCGTTGAAGATCAGCAAGGGCCTCCTGGGGGAGCGGGGCGACCCACCAAGAATTTCTGGAGGAGGTTTACTTTGCGTCCTGTGTGGCACAGGGCTGCCCTGTGGTTCTGCTGAGGGCTACTAGCTTAACTCTTGTGTTTTTGCTTCTGGGAGACATATCAGGGTTCCAGAGGTTTCCTTCAGCCCCTCAGAGCAAACCCCACTACCCTTTCCTATTCCATCACCGCAGCTGTCTCCTGATGGCTGGCTCCTCATGGGTCTCTGTTTCCTTCCCTGGGGGAGCACTGTTCAGACCCGGGTGAGAGAGGCGTGGGAAACCCACAGAAGGAAGGGGCACACTGACCTGTGGGTGCACCTCCTGCAGTGAGTTGAAGAAGGGCTCGAAGGGGGGACGGCCAAAGTGCGTGATGGAGCGCAGGCCCGTGAACAGACTCCGGTTCAGCACCTTCTGGAAGTGCCGCTCACAGATGTACTGGGGGCACAGGGGCCACAGCAGGCCAAGAACCGTCAGGGTCAGTGCTCAGCCTGGGCAAGCTCACAGTGCCCACAACACCTGGCCGTACACCCACCTGGCCTGGCCGTCCCTCCTACCTTCCCAACAGCCCTGCGTGGCAGGCTCTGCCCTTACCAGCATGGTGGTCCTGAGGTCGAACTTTTCAGCCAGCTGGGTGATGTAGATGTGTACAGACACCAGGTCCCGGCGGTCATTCTCCTCCACCTCGCGGATGATGTCTGCCAGCCACTCAAACTGCCGCTGGGTGCGTGTCACCCAGATGAAGTAGATCTAGAGGGATGGGAGGATACAGGCCAGAGCTTGGGACTCTGCACCAATAGCACTCAGGGGATCTCAGCCCCACAGCCTGGGCAGTTGGAGTATGTGGTGGTCCAGGCCAGGCTGTGAGGCCAGAGACACAGAGGTAGAAGTGAGAGACAGCTGGAACCTGGTGGAAGGGGCCTGCAGCTCCACTGATTGCTGAGGACCCAATGGGTGGACTGTCACTGTCATGCTGAGCCTGTGGCTCACACCATGCCCTGCAGAAAGGCTTGCTGAGGATGCAGAGTGGCTCCCAGGGAGCATGGGAAAGAGCCCAAAGACAGTGTGGGAGTGGAGGTGGTAGAAGCTGCCCTGCCAGGGGTGGCCCCCCACTTCTTAAGAGTAAGCATCAGCACAGCTAGAGTGGATGAGAGCAAGGAGGGGCGCTGTCACTCTCTGAGTGCTGACAGTCTATGAGCTGGGGCATTGCCCACCACATTCCACCATTCGTGACTCACCTGCTGCCAGGCCTAGGGAGACAAGCAGGGGCCTGCCGCCAGCTCCAGGCTGTGGTGAAGGGGGCCTGAGGGTTTGGGCTGTGTTCCTGGGCCCAGCCAGCCCACTAGCAGCCCTCCCTGACTACCTCCCCTCCACTTCCAGAGAGCTGAGCTGGCTTCACCTGTGCCCCAACCCACGTGAGCTCTGCCCTCGGCCTCTCTGTCCCTTCCAGCCCTACCTGGAGCAGGTGCTGGGGGCAGGTCCTGTGCCAAGCACCTTGTGGTTGGCAGGAATAGCCTTTGTGAGCCAGGCAGGAGCCCTGAGATGTCCGGAATAGCCTGACACAGTTATACTCGCCAGTTGTCAGGACTACCTGCTGCTGCCCAGATCAGGGACACCTGGAACTGGTTCCCGGGGAGGCCAGCATGGATGGATACAGGGACGTGGAGGACGTCACAGGCTGCTGGTGGGGGAGGCGGTCCTTACCTTCTTACAGAACACCTGGCAGCTGACTGATGACTTGAAGACCAGGTCTTTGAGAATGGAGGCAAAGGGAGTGACCCCAATGCCCCCTCCCACCAGCACCGACACTTCAAACTTGTGCCATTCCTGATGGCCTTCTCCAAATGGTCCATCGAGGTACAGCTTTAGGGAGGGAAGTGGGTTTCAAGGTCAGCTTGGCCACTGCCATGGTTCTAAAGATGGGAATGGGAGGCAGGCAGGTTTATGAAGTGAGGTAGGATCATCTGGAAGTACCAGTTTCCAGATGGGGAGAAGGGAGGGACACAGTGTGGGGCCCATGCTAGGAAGAAATGGGAGCATGGGACTTGTCTGGGTACCTTTGGATACGGGGCACAGCCATCTCCTGTCGGGGGTGAGTAGATCTCCCGGAGGCGAGTGGTCCAGGGTCCTGCTGCCCGAATGTGCAAGCTGAGCGTTTCCTCGTGGGGTGCAGAGGTCAGCGTGAAGGGGTGATACTCGGTGGTCCCCAGAGCCAGGCAGGCGATGCGTACCCACTGCCCCGATTTGTACTCAAAGCCCTGTGGCCGCTGGAACTCCAGGTGTGTCACTCCTGGGGGTCGGGGGCAAGGGTCTGCTGTCCTGATCTCAGCAACCATGTGGCCTCCGCAGAGCCCCCCAATCCTCCCCACTTCCAGCCACGGCCTTGGTTCTGTTTCTGCAATATGATAGGGAGACTTCCTATATTGAGCAGGTACCCAGAGTAGGGCCTGTGGTTAACAAGGAACAGGCAGCCTTGCCTCCTGCTGCCTGCAGTAAGACTGACTTGCCACTTCCCCTGGACCAGGCCAGGAGAGAGGTGATGCAGGCTCTGCCCCAGCCCCAGTAGCTGCCTTGGTGCCAGCAAGCTTCCCCCACCCCAACAGCCTCCAGGATGGTACCTGATGGCAGCAGCTCTGCCTTCACCACGCCAATCTCTACCTTCTTCCGGCTCAGGCTCACCAGCTTGTCCCCCCCATAGATGAGTGCTGGGACCAGGAAGAAGAGGTGGAAGCGGGGCAGCTGGATCAGTGCGAAGCTGCCATGGATGATGAGCTGTAGAGAAGGGCAGAGCTCAGGTCCTGGACCCCAGCATGCTGTGTCCCACATTCCTGCAAGTCCTAAACCTAACCACTTTCAACCCCATCCTCCACAGCATCACACAGCCATGAAATTTGCTTTTCTTCTCCCTGCATCACCCTAGACCAAGCCCCGTAACCTCACCTGGAGTCAGGCAGTGGCTTCCTAAAGGGTCTTGCATGAGCCTTGCCCCACTGCAGCCCAATCTGTTGTGGGCAGCCAGTGTGCCTTTTCGAAACCCATGCTGTCTTGCCAGCCCCAG